TACATTATTATGTGTATCTGAGGATGTAGGAGAGGGGGGGGGAAAGGATCAACACACGAGCGCAGTTTGATACAAGACACGATGGCAACAGCCCTCCAGGTACTAGTTTACGAAAATGAAAAGGGGCAACGAGAATCAACAACGAGATTCGGAAGTACACACCACGTCCCCTTTTTTGTCTAGCTTCATTGAAGATCGGACTCTCCTTGGCAAGGGCGAGTTTATCTATTTTAGCTATTGCTATTTTTATTTGGAACAAAAAGTTACCCAGAAAAAACGATCTCTTATCTCGTTTGGTCTTTAGTTACCAATAAGGGCATGACGTCTTGGTCTCTGATTTCTTTCTGTTTTTTAAGTGTCCTACATTTATGCAGTGAAACGTCGATGTACCGTATTTGTCAATAACCCCAGGCATTTAAATATTTTATCCGAACACTTCAACTTAATTGTTCAAGTGAAAACAATGTTTTTAAACTCTTTTGTCTCGGGACCAAAGACCATCATGTGAACTTTGATGATCTACATGTATTTTGATTCTCAGATGAGCGTAAGGAGGGAGTGAGACAAGGGGAGGGGGCGGTGTAGGTCAAGTATAATCTCTCGTCCTCTGCTGACTCACACCCATATTTCGGCCGGCTCTTCGCGTGTTGCTTCATAGACTTAAATCACAACTCGTGACTTGGAGTGCCAGGTCTAGTGGAGGAGTCTCGCCGGTTAATTCACAGCATCCCCCCACTGACTCACCCACAAATTGCATTAGTCCTATCGTAGTGTGAACACTTTTGCACTGGTCGTCTCTACGGAGAGCGGGACAATGGCCTTGACTTTTGTTTGTTTTTTTGGACGTTCTTTCCCCAGCCTATTTATTTCTACTTTGCGATTCAATTTTTTTTTTTTTTGGAGTTGTGTTCTCACCCGCTCGATGAACATCTGTCAGGCAATTCTTCAGGAAGATTCTAGAGCGAGCCTGTGGTTGTGGAATAGCCCTTATACCATGCTGCGAGTTTTTGTGTGACGGCATTGCCACGTGTCTGCGAAGTGATAGTTATTACTGTTCATCATTTCTTTTATCATCATCATCATTATTATTATTACCATTATCATTATTATCATTATCATTATTATTATTTTATTATTATTATCATCATCATCATCATCATCACCATCATCATCATCATCATCATCATCATCATCATCATCATCATCATCATCATCACCACCACCATCATCATCATCATCATCACCATTATTATTATTGTTATTGTTATTATTATTATTATTATTATTATTATTATTATTATTATTATTATTATTAGAGATCATGTCAAAATAATTTCTTCCCACCAAAAATGCTGTAATTCGTGGCCTTTTTTATTTCTAAATCAGAGCAATAATTGCGCCGCCTATTCAGTATGTGCTGACGCTTCTCCACTACTTTAGATCTGTTCTCAACGACGTCTATGGTGTAAAGGTTTATCGCGCTTCGCTGTTGCTTGCAGGAGACCCAGGTTCGATTCTGGAACGGGGAGCATTTTTTAACAAATGTCTCACCTTTCTGCTGGGATGTTGTACCTCTCTGAGCCCAGGATGGCCCCCAATAAGGTTATAAATGGAAGGTCTACGCAAAAAAGGTCCTTGGTTGGCCCCGATGATATGCAGGGTAAGAACCCGCCTCTTAAATGATCCAAATTGTGTCAATAGGGGCGTAAAAAGCCTATATCTGACCCCGATTTTTTATGCAAAAAGAATTCTGAAATTATGCAAACTGAGCCCAAAAATGTGAAATTATGCGATTCTGTTAATTTTAACAAAAAATGATACAGGAAAATAATCAGAAATTATGCCTAAAAAATGATCAAATTTTGCAAAATAATGCCGGGTGCATAAAACCCCGGGGACAGCTATATTAAAATAAAATAAACTGTTCCCCTCAGGTGTGGTTCCAGAACCGGCGAGCCAAGTACCGGAAACAGGAGAAACAGTTGGCCAAGTCGCTGTCGCCGGTCATCCCGACATGTAACGGCATGATGAGGAACATCTACCCGACCAACACCCGGGGCTACCCCTACCCGACTTCTGCCAACATGAACATGAACAACATGGCCGCCAGGTGAGCCGATTTTTCTACTATATTACGTCTCCCCTCTCTTTATCTCTTTTAAAATTTTTTTTTTCTTTCTTTGTCTGTCTGTCTGTCTGTCTGTCTGTCTGTCTGTCTGTCTGTCTGTCTGTCTGTCTGTCTGTCTGTCTGTCTGTCTGTCTGTCTATCTCTCTCTCTCTCTCTCTCTCTCTCTCTCTCTCTCTCTCTCTCTCTCTCTCTCGTGTACGTTGAATACACATACGTATGCATATAAAATAAACTTCCCTACTGAGGCTGGTATGGGGTTAACGAGAGAGAGAGAGAGAGAGAGAGAGAGAGAGAGAGAGAGAGAGAGAGAGAGAGAGAGAGAGAGAGAGAGAGAGAGAGAGGGGGGGGGGTGAGGTTGATGGTAGGTTGGTGAGGGAGGCAGCCAGATTTTCCTCAATGACGGGACAACAGCTAACATCCTGACACAATGACCAATTCACCTCGCGACCTTGACAACAAATGTGTTTGATTTTGGAGGTTTAAAGTCGAATTTAGTCGAATTCGATCAAATTGTGCTAATAGTAATGGTAACTTTTACTCTATCCATGAAGGAAAATCTGGCTGTCCCCGACTCGATCAGATAAAAATGAATTCGATTGCCAGTGTGCACTCGGTATAACGTTCCGCTCAACAATTGGCCACGTCTACTCTAACCCTCACGTGTCTCTGGCCCGCCTTATCCAGGTACCCTCAGATGAACTCCACCTACCCGCCCTCTATGGGCGGCATGCACCAGTTCTCCCACATGGGAGGGATGGCCGGGTCCAACATGGCCACCATGAGCATGCCAAGACAAGTACAGCAGTTTCCCATGGCAACCGACTACGGTCTGGTACGTATGTGTTATGTTCAGTGTTTGGATCTCCATGACGTTGAATGACGAATTATGATTATTTTGTTACTGGGTGTTCATTGAGATCTGATCTATTTTCAAATCTCTTTCCTTGTGTCTTCTCCCATGTTTATTTTGCTGTTTGGAATTACAAATTGGATTTTGTTGTTTTGGTTGTTTTGGTTCGATTTTTTTTACGGGAGAGGAAATTTTTTAGGTTGGGGGGGGGGCATTCATATAGCATACAGATGCGTGTAGAAAGCTTCTTAGCTATTACACAAGTTAAAATTGTCGGTAGCCTGCGTAGATTAGGCTAGAAAATAGAGATAACTCCTTTTAAACTAGAGTCCGTACGAGGTCACGTGACACGGAAACATTTGAATTTGGTGGCGGCCATTTTTCAGTGGGCGAAAACGTTTGTTTACATGTGAGTGGGCGTGTCTCTGCTCTTACGTGTTTTATTTGATTCTAACGTTATGTTTTAACCCAAAGTGATTCTCTTAAAAATGCAAGCATGTGAAACCTCTAGATCTAGTCCCTTTCTGGATTAACGTCTTATTGGGTTATTTTGAGCTTGGATTAGAAATCACAGTTGAGTATGAATTATCACTTGTACGCAGATGATACACAGTTGTATAAATCTGTTCCACCACCAGATGTTAAAACCTTGCCTGCCACCATATGGGTATGTGCATTGATGATGTTAAGAACTGGATGATTGATAATAAGCTCCAGCTTAATGAAAATAATACTGAAACTCGTTTATGTAACAACAACAAAAAAGCCATATCCCCATAGACGTCGAGATCTAGATATCTAGATCTCTAGATCTAGATCAAGTTTGTACGATGTGTAATCGTGTGATGTGTGTGTGTGTGAGTGTGTGTGTGTGTGCGCTCGCGTACGCACGTGCGTGTGTGTGTGTGAGTGTTTGTTTGTGTGTGCGTGTGTGCGTATATGTGTATGTGTGTGTGTATATGCGTGTGTGTGTATGTGTGTATGTATGTGTGTGTGCGTGTGCGTGTGTTTGTGCGTGTGTGTGTGCATGAGTGAATATTGTTCGTACATGCATTTATGTGGATTCTAAAGCACCTAGCTAGAGCTAGGTTTGTGGGCGCTATAGAAATGATCTGCAGTAGTAGTAGTAGTAGTAGTAGTAGTAGTAGTAGTAGCAGCAGCAGCAGCAGCAGCAGCAGCAGCAGCAGCAGCAGCAGCAGCAGCAGCAGCAGCAGCAGCAGCAGCAGTAGTAGTAGTAGTAGTAGTAGCAGAAGCACAAGCAGCAGTAGATCTACAGCCTTAGAGATTTTCTTTACAATAAAACGAGACCAGTAAGGATGGTGAAACACTGCTGTGTTTAACTTATCAGTGTACTAACAGAGCATCGAAAGGAACCCCTTTCATTTCACTGGTAAGAATAAGATTTATAAGAATTTTGACAGATTAGATCTAGATCTTTGTTTTGAAGAAAATATTCGAAAAAGATTAAGAGCCTGGTCTGATCAAAACCTACCTTTCAGTTAATTGATATCAAATCGAACCACTGCAATTTTGCGTCGTCTTGTGTTTAAATTACTTACTTAAACATCACAAAATCCAAGCTAGATCTACTAATCTGAGGCACAAATTTCACTCACTAGACAATGACTCAATGACTTAACATATATTAAACATAGTAATATAATAGTATTATCAATCATAATTATTTTTATGGGACGATGATGGATGGGAGCAGCCAAAGATAGGCTAGTGTCTTAAATGCATAAGGTATAGGATAGGATAGATATCTAAGCTTATTAGTGACAAAGGAAACCATAGTCAGAGTGCGCTTGGTGCTGAGCTTGCTATGCACAGCGTATAATACACGTATGTGTTTAGCACATGTTCTATTGCTCGAATGAATTTAAATTAAACATCACTGCTTCTGTCAGGCAGATCAGTGATGTCTCTGTTCTTTTATTACATCATCTATTTTTTGCTCATAATATGTCTTATAGACACCTATCAGCAAGGTTCTGGGCCATTAAAGTTAAGGTTTACCAGCAGCTAGATCTTTTTCACTATGGGCAGGTAATTTCTTTATCAAACAGTATACTTTTTAATGTTTTGTTTTATTGAATGTTGTCCAAAAACACAATTATTAAAGGTTTTTGTTTCTGTTATCACTACACTGTGTAGAAAAACAATTGACCAGGCTACAAAACAACATTAAGTTCACTTTTTTATCTTTACGGAGTCCAGAGTTGTCACAGTAGTTTGACGAATGTCTAAAATTAGACTTACTTAAAACAGCAATTGAAGGAGCTTTTTTTTTTTCTTTTTTTTTTTTTTGTTAAGTGTTTTACGGCGCTCTCAACTGCATAGGTCATATGAGCGCGCGGGACACACCTAATATTTTCAGTTGGTAGGAAATTTTGAATTTTGCCCGGGTAGCGGCCGAACCGAAGCCTACTCTTATCGATTTTAGA